TTTTTTCCCCAACACCAGATTTTCCAACAGAAGCGACTGCATTCTTCGTGTCAAGCTTTCCTTATCCCCTCGTGTAATCTGATCCTTTTTAGTGGTGAGAATATTGCTTGCTGCACATAGAACACTTTTGCTGTTTTACAAACTTCTCTTCGTTAAAATTTAACATTATGGCCCCTAAGATTAATAGAATATATCAAGTGCTCATGTCTCTTGACTGCGGTGGCCGGGTTTAACGAAAAAATTTAGGTAAAGAAACACAGGAAGTCGCGACGGCGGAAAGTGTATGAAATTTTGTTTGTTATTCAACTTGAGCCCGTGCGCCACTGCCTTTTGATTGGTTCACAACTGACCACTTGGTCTCAGGGGAATCTACATTACATTGGGTTACACTTTTTTCAGCTCGATCGAGAATTTTTCTGCCTATTGCCCAGTCTTGCGCGGCTCTATTCTGCTGCCGCCTCGCCATCCGAGCGTCTTCGCTCGGATGGCTCGTTGGCAATAAGCAAGTTAGCCATTCTATAAAGCAGGAAACGATTAGCGTTATTTTCACGCACTGCTCCCCCAATCCCTCTGCCGCCTAAAATATAGCGTGACAGTATAACGTCACTATTTTGACCTAACCGGAAATTCCAAAAATTATTGTCGTTGTACGGGTCATAAAACGCGACAGGGAGAGCTGTACTGTTAACAATCAGTACATTTCTCAATTCTGGTTCTTAAAACTAACAAAACAAATGACATTTCAGTTTTAAAACAAAACTCAATAAACCAGCCACCAGAGATACAAGTGACCGAATCCCTTTTACAGTTACCTATAATCCAGTTCTACCTAACATCCATGACATACTCCGTAAGAAACAACCCATTCTGCAATCCGCCGAACGCTTAAGAAACATCTTTAAAGAAGTACCTGTCGTCGCTTTCCGGCGTTCATCAAACCTTCGTGACCTACTCGTTCGTGCGAAATTCGCAAACAGTGACAGCACACCTAAGCCCCCTGCCGACACATTCCACACATTCCGTTGCAACTCCAGACATGGCTGCCTATCCTGCCCATACATTAACCGTGGGAAAACACCATACACTTTCACGAACACAGGAGAAACAAGGCAAATTAAACATCACATTACTTGTGACTCAACAAACTTAACATATATGATCCGATGTAAAAGATGTAAAAAACAATATATTGTTGGTTTTCACATGACGTCCCTAAAATTCAAACTACAAAACTATCGATCCTACTGAAATTTTACTTTCATGATGTATTAGAGCAGCTGAAAACCAATTTTCATCCAAATTTTCGCTTCAAAAGGGTTCTTGGTTTTTTGATAGCGTACGCTTGAATTTCGAAGCTTTTGAGTGACGTGGCATTTACATGACGGCCGAGAGAGCTGTCACGTAGGTTAAAGAAAATGACTTATTTCAGAAAATTTTGCTATCTTAAAAGTTCATGTAACGGAAAAAGTATTACTTTAATGTTTAAGAGTTCCTTGAGGAATAAATTCACGCTTTTGCACCAAAACTCGGTAACAGATGTTTTTGTTGGTTTCCGTCCGCCATATTGGTGCCCATCCAGGTGGGCACCAACATGGCGTCTCCATGTATAAATTTGGGTAAAACATTTCTTCGGATATCTCGTATACGGAATATTCTTCGGACCTGATTCTTGGCAAGGGGCTTTGTATATTTACTTCCTTTCATTTCCCAGATTCCGGACTTTATCTATTGAACGGTTTTGATTTTTAGTTTGATCTATTTTGAATGGCGTGACACTGAAACTGCAGCAATAGGTGAAACTAAGCGCACACTTCGTGAACGCTTTAAAGAACATAGACAGGCAAGAACAATCAACTCCACGCAAACGCCACAGCAGCAGTCCCTTCCCACTTAAATCAACCTGGCCACTCGATCGCAGACATGGAACTTATTCCGCTGGAATTACAACCCATCCTCAGCATGTCAAGCCGTAAGGCAAGAGAAGCGTACCTCATAGATAGAGGCAAAACCCTGTCACCAGACGGTCTGAACCGAAGAAGAGAACATTGAACTGTTTCTATTTCTATTTTTATTGTACAATCATTTACCTGTATATTATTCTATCTAGTATTTATAATTGTAGTTAATTATTAACCGCTTATGTGAATTTCAAATTCAAATTTTAGGAGCCGTTAAAAGATATTTTTTCTCGGTATAGTTCTGGCCTAGCCTCCCACGCAGACGTTCTTAGAGGTTCGTCACGCGTACCTGCCCCACCAAAAACGTCAGCGTGGGAGGCTAGTTCTGGCCCTGCGGAAGGCTACTTTTGTTAGCCGAAATATTGGCCTATAATAAATCAGCCCTTTGCCGTAGTGCAAGCCCTGCATTGAGTTTTGTTTTATTTCACACTTTAAGTGACGTCTGGCTACAGCATCTCTTTGATTAGAGATCCGGCAAGAGGAACCAGTCAGTTACACTTACGCGTTGCGTGGACCTTTGCATTCAAACAGTTTTTTGTTATTTCAGTTTTGTTTTTGTCTAATATTGCGTTTACAGTCAAACCAAGTCAAGCGTACCCCCCAAGATTCTATTAATGAATTGATTATTTGAAAAATGAATCCGTTGGTCGTTCCCGTAACTGGTGTCTAATTCAAAGCGGCATTTCTGCATGCGTAATGAGCAGTGAATATTTTACGAGAACTTCTCTGTATTTGGTCAGATTGGAAATCTTTGAATGGATTAAGCTTCTTAGAAGACATTTACATCAATTTCAGGGAAAATGGAGCTGGTAGAAATTTCATAACTGCCTCGCGTGTGAATTCACGGCTCATTACACATGCAAGAATGCAGAGATCACTCTGAAATCTACAACTAGCAACGGATTCAACTTTTGAATAATAAATTCATTAATGTATTCTTGGGGGGTACGCTTGACCTGGTTTGACTGTAAA